CGTTTTTAAACACTGACTTTGTACTTGACTGGAAATCTCTGATAAGAAGTTTTTAATAAGACACGAGTTACCTCCCATTTCCCAGGACGCAAAGCAGACCATTCTTGATTTAAAAGTGTTATCAAAATCACTTTCAACATTTTCCCTTCCTCTGCACCAGTTTTTAATTTTAAAAAAGTTGATCATTATCATAACGATGCTGTCAACAAATTACCCCAGGAAACACTGCAAAAGTGTGAAAATTGTCACTATCTGAACTTAAATCCTCCAAGAAAAAAAATTTTCTAACCAAAGAAAAGCAGAATGCCCTTTACAAAGGGCATGGTCACCCCCAGATGTCCATCCCTAACCGCTCTGGGCCTGGTCACCCCCAGATGTCCATCCCTAACCGGTGGCAGAGGTCAGGTGGGGAAATGCTGATCTCGGAGTCACCGCCAGTTCCAAGACCTCAGGAACAGAATGAGGTTTTCCTGCTTCACCCACCTGGATGCAACTCAGCCAGTACCGCACGTCTGAGAAGGAGCACTCCGATGTGATATCGTACATCAGCACGACCCCATCCGCCTTCCGGAAGAACTGCTTGGTGATGCTGCGGTACCTGCGTGCATTTTAAATGGTCACCGATGAGGTCTAAAGAGGTTTCGCCTAGGAGCAATCTGAAATCCCAGTGGGAATGCTGGAAATACATGTCTACAAGAAAGGCAAAGCTCGGATTTTGCTCCTGTCGTGATCACAGAGGCCATACAAACAGCCTGAGTGCTTATTTTTATCTTAATTACTACCTTTATTTTTATCAGATCACACACTGTACAGAGTCCCTTCTTAAACAACCCCTCCTTTGCTTAGCAAAGCCAAGAACATTCATTTCCACTAAACTACCAGAAAAAAAAGAAAATCACAGGTTGCTCTCCTTAAGCAGACAGCACAGCACCTTACCTTTCTTGGCCAGCTGAGTCCCACAGGCAGAGAGCAAAGCACTTGTTGTCCACGACGAGGTTTTTGACCCAATAATCCAGTCCTAGGAGACACAAAAAGGGGTATTTTGATACTGTAGAGTTCATCCCTGTGAAAGAGGACGGATGGAGAAGGCACATGGTGCAGGTGTGGTCTGAGGCTGCAGCTGAAACGAGCTGGTCCTAAGTGAACCTCCAGCTTTTAGATCTTTGATGGCTGGATTTTGGGAAGGTCTCTAATCTCATGATGAGTAAAAACAGGTTGGTTAAGAGAGGAGAATATAGCTGAAAGGCAAAGCAGAGAGAAAAGCACTAGGGCCATTAGTATTGGTGCCCTAGAGAGGGCAAGGAGGACCAGCACTGCCTGCTCAGGAGCATCCAGGCGTGTGAAGTTGGTGGTCCTATTTGGTCCTTGGTGACAGGTTGCATACTACGCTTGGCATGAGCTGTAACATGCATGTAATGATCACCAGCAGCTTGTGGGGTGGAGGAAAGGGAATTGTGAAGGTCACCCAAAGCAGGTGCAGAGCCGTGCTGGAGAGGAGATGGAGGAGACCTACCTACTGTGGTGGTGTGGTGCGGGTTGAAGATGTTGGTGTGCAACCGGTACAGGAATGATGTTTTGCCCACGTGGGAGTCCCCAACGAACAGCACGTTGTAGAGGTGGTCTGGGACCGGGAAGGCTTCAGGAGAACCCCTTGGTTCTCCCGCCCCATCTGCAGTCACGGCCCCTGGCTCTCCTCGGCTGGGCTCACCTTCCTGGCTTGTTTTCTGCCCAACCTCTTGCTTCTCCTGTTGACCAACATTGAGGTCTTCACTCTGTTCTCCCAAGAGCTGCCTCTGAGGCCGCGTGCTGCTGTTGGCTGCATCCCCCAGTGAGCTGTCTCTGAGGACCATCCCTGACTGATCATTCCCAGCATCTTCCTCCTGTTGGACCCTTGTGTGAAGGGTTGACGCTGGTGGCACCTCTTGTTTTGGAGGCTTGGCAGGTCTGGCAGCTATCTGCTCCGTTTCCATCATGTGTGGCAGCTTCTCCTCCGGCTGCTGGGAAACAGCGTGAAGCCTCACCTTATCTGCCTGTGCTGAGACTTGCTCCTGAAGCTCGCTTTGGGCTGCCTGTCCTGAAGTGCCTAGCCGCCGCACATCTGGAACGAGAACATCCTCCTGCATCATCGTTTCCAGCTTTAGCGTGCTGATTTGTAATGTCACCTCTGAGACCGGGGGGGCCAGCGCAGACGCACTGTCATCATGGCCCTGCTTTATCCCTAGACTCTGAGTTTCAACTAAAATCCTTGCCCCTGTCTCCAGCCTCTCTCCCTGCACCACTTCCAGACCTTGAGCTCCACCCAAAGGCCTCTCCTCTGCATCAGCCCTCTCTCCCTGCGGTATTTCCAGTGTCTGGGTATCCTCTGGGATCTGCCCATCTGGACCAGTGAGTGCTCCCAGCATTGCTTCCAGACCAGGACCCTCGGCGGCGGCGGCACACTCAGGATGTAAAGCAGCCTCAGCCGGAGGGGACACATGTGCACCAGCAGCCCCCTCCCACACGTCTGCGGTGTGAGCTGCACACAGACCTGCCTCCAAACCAGGAGTCTGGCTCTGCTGCCCTTCCTGCATCCCAGCTGCACCCAGGGGTGCCAGATCTGCCTCTGTGCTCCCTCCCGAAGATGATTTGAGCTCCTCCGCCTCTGTAAGCGACTGCACATTGGCATCAGTGCTCTGGTCCTCCAGTGTGTCCAGGATTACAGCCTCCTCCCGTGACTGCATGCCTGCACCAGTCCCCTCTCCCTGCCCAACTCCTGCTCCCTGCGGATCGAGTGCATGGCTGCGTGGCCACTCATGCTCACCCTGTCCTTGTGCCCCATCCTCAGCCTCCTCCACGAGCTGCATGGCTGCACGGTCCCCCCCTCCCTGGGGGGTTTCTGGGCTGGCACCCCCATGCAGCTGCGTGTCTGCCCAGGAGTCCTCTGCTCCCACCATTTCCGCTAACTCTGGTTTATCGACCTGATCCAGGAGTTGCACATCTGGATCCCCGCGCCCTCCCTGCCCTGTATCCTGGGAGCCGGCCTCACTCAAGTTCTGCAGGTCTGCCTCCATGCCTCCTCCTGGGGTTGATTTGAGCTCATCCACCTCTGAAAGTGGCTGCACGTTTGCATCAGTGCTCCGGTCCTCCAGTGTGTCCAGGATTACAGCCTCCTCCCGTGACTGCACGCCTGCACCAGCCCCCTCTCCCTGCCCAACTCCTGCTCCCTGTGGATCAAGCACAGGCTCATGTGACAGCCCACGCTTGCCCTGTCCTAGTCCCCCATCCTCAGCCTCCTCCACGAGCTGCATGGCTGCCCCACCCTCCACTCCCCTTGGGGCTTCTGGGCTGAGACCCCCACGCAGCTGCGTGTCTGCCTGGGCATCCTCTGCCTCCATTTCCACTAACTCTGGTTTATCAACCTGACCCAGGGGTTGCACATCTGGAGCCATGCTCCCTCCCTGCTCTGTCCCCGGGGAGCTGGCCTCGCTGGAGAGCTGCAGATCTGCCTCTGTGCTCCCTCCTGGGATCAATTTGAGCTCATCCGTCTCTGCAAGCAGCTGCACGTTTGCATCAGTCCTCTGGTCCTCCAGCGTGCCCAGGCTTTCAGCCTCTTCAGGGGGCTGCACACCTTCAGGAGCCCTCTCTCCCTGCCTGATGGTCACTCCATGGGGGTGAAGCGCAGGCTCGTGTGGCAGCCCACGCTCACTCTGCCCTTGTGCCCCATCCTCAGCCTCCTCCCTGAGACGTACAGCTGCACGGTCCCCCCCTCCCTGGGGGGTTTCGGGCTGGCACCCCCATGCAGCTGCGTGTCTGCCCAGGAGTCCTCTGCCTCCACCATTTCCACTAACTCTGGTTTATCAGCCTGATCCAGGAGTTGCACATCTGGAGCCACGCTCCCTCCCTGCTCTGTATCCATGGAGCCAGCCTCGTTCAGGGGCTGCAGATCTGCCTCCGTGCTCCCTCCTGGGGTCAATTTGAGCTCATCCGTCCCTGCAAACAGCTGCACATTTGCATCAGCGCTCTGGTCCTTCACCATGTCCAGGATTACAACCTCCTCCCATGGCTGCACACCTGCACCAGCCCCCTCTCCCTGCCTGATGGCCATTCCATGGGGGTGAAGCACAGGCTCATGTGACAGCCCACGCTCATCCTGCCCTTGTCCCCCATCCTCAGCCTCCTCCACGAGCTGCATGGCTGCACGGTCCCCCCTTCCCTGGGGGGTTTCTGGGCTGGCACCCCCATGCAGCTGCGTGTCTGCCCAGGAGTCCTCTGCCTCCACCATTTCCACTAACCCTGGTTTATCAGCCTGATCCAGGAGTTGCACATGCCAAGCCACGCTCCCTCCCTGCTCTGTCCCCAGGTAACCAGCTTCACTGGGGGGCTGCAGATCTGCCTCCGTGCTCCCTCCTGGGGTCAATTTGAGCTCAACTGCCTCTGCAAGCAGCTGCACATTGGCATCTGTGCTCTGGTCCTCCAGCACGTCCAGGATTACAGCCTCCTCCTGTGGTCGCACGCCTGCACCAGCCCCTTCTCCCTGTCTGACGATTGCTCCCTGCGAATCGAGCACAGGCTCGTGTGGCAGCTCGTGCTCACCCTGTCCTTGTGCCCCATCCTCAGCCTCCTCCCCGAGCTGAACGGCTGCTTGACCCTCCCCTCCCTGGGGGGTTTCTGGGCTGGCACCCCCATGCAGCCGTGTGTCTGCCCAGGAGTCCTCTGCCTCCACCAGTTCCAGGGCCTGAGCCTTAATTAGGAACAACCCGTCCTCGTTGATGTCCTCTCCCTGCACCAGTTCCAGCTCCCCCTCTTCCTCTGGGTGCTGTACATCTCCATCCACCTCCGCTCCTGGCCTCTGCTCCCCAAACGGCACCACGGGCAGAGGAGCGGAGTCCTCCCTGCCAGCGCTGCATTCATCGGCCTCAGCTCCAGGCAGCTCCTCTGCACCAGCCCCCTCTCCCTGCCCAAATCCTGCCCCACGCAGATCCATCACAGGCTCATGTGGCAGCTCATGCTCGCCCTGCCCTCGTCCCTCATCCTCAGCCTCGTCCCCGAGCTGCATGGCTGCATGGTCCCCCCCTCCCTGGGGAGCTTCTGGACTGGGATCCCCACGGAGCTGTGCGTCTGCCTGAGATTCCTCTGCCCCCACCAGTTCCAGTGCCTGAGCCTTCACTGGGAACAGCCCACCCAGGTCTGGGCTCCCCACAGGTGTTTCTGCTGGGGAAGGACCCTCACTGTGCACCACAGCAGCACCCATTTCCTCCCCCAGCCCTAACTCTGGTTTATCATCCTCCTCCAGTGGTTGCACACCTGGAGCCACGCTCCCTCCCTGCTCTGTCTCCGGGGAGCTGGCCTCGCCTGGGGGCTGCAGATCTGCCTCTGTGCTCGCTTCGAGCTCCTCCACCTCTGCAAGCAGCTGCACATTGGCATCGCTGCTCTGGGCCTCCAGCAGTTGCACATCTGTCCCCGCTCCGCCTTCCTGCACGTCGGTGGGTGGCAGCAGCACCTCTGCACCCACACTCCCTCCCCACGCTGCGTCTCCCCTCGCAGACTCACCCTGCAGCCGCGGCTCTGCCTCCCTGGGCTCTGTTACCTCCACCTCCCCTTCCTCGGCCCCAGCTCCGCTGCTCCCTCCATGCTGAGCTGGGGCTGGTGGCACGTCGGCATCTAAGGTCTCTCCCCAGGGCTGCACCTCCGCACAGACGCGCTCATCCTCCAGCATCCCGGGGTCAGGAGCCACTGTCACCTCGGGGAGGACACCATCCCCCTGGGCTGCTCCCATTTGCGCCTCACCCCAGGATGGTGGCTCTGGCTCCAGGCACTCTCCAGGCTTTATTTCAAGTTTCTTGGAGAGCCCCGAGGGTGGGTCAGCCTCTTCCCCCAGCCCTGTGCCCGGGGGCTGCACACACTCTTCTGGAGCTGCAGCCAGGCTAAATTCATCTGTGGCAAGCTGCCATCCCACTGCTAGACCTGCCTCCCCAGCCTCAAGTGGCCCCAGACCCGCCTCCAGATCTTCTCCCTGGTTTAATGCTGCATCCTCAGCTTCTTCCGGGAGCTGTGCCTTTTCCCAGCCTGCTTTTTCCTGCATCCATCCATCTCCCTCCACCTCCATGAGCGCCTGCTCTCCTGCCTCCATGCTCTCTCCCGGTGCTCCTTGCTGATGCTCAGCTGCCTTTAGCATCAGCTCCTCCACACCAGCGCCCTTTCCTTGCAGGAGTAACATCCTCTGCGCCTCCTCCGGGCTCTCTCCCTGCTCTGCCCCTGGCTCCTGAGCCCTGCGGTGCCTGGCTTCCACGGACGCACCAGCCTGTGTCATGTCTGGAGCACGAAGCTCAGCTGTGGCTGGTCCCTCTTTCAGGTCTCCTTCAAACAGCTCATGACCGACGTGGCCGACGAGGGTCTCTTGCAGGACCCCGGGGGTTGTGCCGTGGGCTGCGGCTGCCTCCAGCCCCATTTGGGGCTCAGCATCGTCCTGGGGGCGACAGGCAGTGTCTGCCAGCGCGGGGGGTGCACCCAGTGCCTGTGGCTTCAGCTGTTTGCTCAGAGCCGCTATTGCATCATTCATCTCTCTTAGCAAAGAGCTTTGGTCAGAAAAGCGTTCCTCCTTCAGGAATTCTGGGAAGGGGTCCTCTTCCACAGAGCTCACTCTCGGCAGGGCTCCCAAAACGCTTATTTCTGCTGGCAGCATTTCCCAAACCCTGGAAAGGGCAGAAAAAGGAGGGGGGTCAGCCCAGCCCCTGGGTCGGGCTGCAGCTCCCTCCCATCCACCTGGGCCGGTCCCGGGGGGGGTGTCTCTCCTCCATCACCTCACCCCATCTCTCTCCAAACCCGATCGTATTTACCCTCCGGGTGTACTGAGTTTCACACAGGCAGCAATGGGAACAGGGGAAAGGGGGATGCACACCCAGGGAGCCAGACCCGGGGCCGTATCCTGCCCAGCAAGCGAGCGTGCCTCTTCCCAGGCTCCGTGTTCACATTATCGGAGATGAAAAGACAACTCTTGGCCAGATACGGCGAGTGCCTGAGCCAAGGGAGTAATGCAGGACGACGAGCTGGGGTAAGAGATCTGATCTCCGGGATGAGAGATGAGTGGGGGGGAAAGGAGCGTTAAAAGGACTAAATATCGCGTTTTGCCTGGGGAGGGTGGAGGACTTGGGTGCTCAGCACCGGCTCGCAGATGTCGAGGGCACGAGCTGAAGCAGCAGCTGTTGCCCAGGACCCCTTACACTTGGTGGGTGCTCTTGGCTTTAGGCTCTGTGCTCTGGGACCCCAGCCCGATCTGCATCTCGGAGTGGTACTTCTCGCTCTTCTCCGGACTCGTCTGCAGTAAACAGGGTGGGAAGAAAAGAGAGAAAAGTGCTTGGCAAAGAAGCATATCCACGTGAAACGATGCTGAGCTCTCCGGAAGGTATCCAGACGTACCCACCCAAAATCTTGGGGGCATCAGAACTAACGTGCTGCTACCCCCTCCCTTCCCAAGCATCTGTAGGGCACCATGCCGACCCGGTTTGAGAAAGCTTTTAGGGGAGGCACTGCCTCTGCTGCAGAAGCACCCTGTGCTCTTGGGCTCCCCAGCAGTCCCAAACAGAACAGCGTGAGGCCCTGGAGCACAGACACCCCAGCCTGTCCCCGCGTACCCAGCTGAAGTACCTGTGGGGACAGGGGCATCTCACCGGGCAGGTCTGTCACCGCTTTGTCCCTGCAGACACAGAGCACAGGGGTCAAAATGGCAATTGCACCCTCTTGACCGTGTCCATCCCTGCCCCAGGGTTGTTCCCAGCCCCAGAGACAGCAATGGGCAGGACAGCAAAACCCACAAGCCTTGGATCGATCCTGGTTGGGTCCTTCTGGGTGAAGGACGTCCCCATCTCTGCTGGCACTGCCCTACAGGGACACGTTCAGTGCATGATGCTGATAGTCCTGTCTTTTTTTCTGGTGCTTTTCACACCAAACCACGATTAATCTGCACCGTGGAGACCACTAAAGCACCACGATGGCTGAGACCCATCAAACTCATTCCCCATCCACTGCAACCCTCAGGAGGAAACCATATAGGTGCAGAGGGAGATGCTGGTCACTCAGCTACTCACCCGGGCTCCTCCGTGTGCTCCCGAGCCACCGCGGCCCTTGCGGTCCGCAGGCGCCCGTGGGTCTGCTGGAGCTGCTGGTGGAGGTGCTGCAGGTGGTCCTCCAGCACCCGGTTGCTCTCCTCCAACTGCCGGTTTTCGGTGCTGGCAGCTTGCTGCGTGCTGCGGAGGCTGCGGCACCGCGTCTCCAGCTGCGGGACGGCAACCGGGACACTCACACCCCGCCAGGACTCCCATGAGACCCATGCCAAAGAATGATGGATAACCATCTCCTCTAGACCTGGGGCTGACTTTTCCCCCCTGAGGGTGGAGAGTGGGGAAACTCAACTCAGGTGCTCTGTGGATGGAGGGGAGGGTGGGGATGGGGGTGGCAAAGGAGAGGTGATGGAGGTCCCATGTGACAACCTGCATCAAGGGCTGGTGGGGACAGACCAAGATCAAGTGTACAACGCCAATGTTGCTGATACAGGCACAGCCCAGAGACCCCATACACACGATGGGGGACCAGGGGTTGGGGCCAGCTCACCTCCATCTGCGCCGTGACCAAGCGCTGCACCTCCCTCTCGCTGGCATCCAGTGCTTGCTGCAGCTCCACGCCGTGCTGGTGGTGCCGGGCCATGCTCTGGGATGGCAACAAGGACATGAGCACCCCCTCGCCCGTCTGGCACCTGCCACAGGGGTTTGGGGGTGCTGGGTCCCCTCCCAGGGTGGGTAGCAAGGGGAGAGGAGCAGCTGGTGACCCACCTCCTGCTCCAGCTGCTGTTGCTCCTGCCGGATCTGCTGCTCCAGGGCCTCACAGAGCTGCTGCACCTCCTTGTTGTGCTCAGCTACACGCCTGCCAGTGACAGCAAGGCCAGGGGGCTGGTCAGACCCTGCTGCAGTGGGTGCAGGTCCCTGGGACCCCACATTGCCCACGGGACCTGCAGGCTGAAGCCGGGTTTGCCCGGAGGGGTTCACCCAGCAAGGACGTGTCCAGCAGTCTGAGTCCAGCACTTTTGCCATCCCGTGTGTGACTGTAGAGGGAGCCCGACCCCAAACATCGGCTCCCAGTGAAACCTCTGCTCCAGCCACTGATGAAGATGCTGAAAGCACCCAGGTTTCTCCCTCTTTGGGTGCATCTCCACAGCTGGGGTGAGCAGGGGGCCCATCCCTGTACCCATCCTTCCCGTCCCGTCCCTCTCCACTGCCCTGGGGTGACTCACTTGTTCAGGGTCACCTCCAAAGCCTCCTTCTTGCTCCTGGCTTCTTGGATGCGGTGCCTCATCTTGGCCAGAAAGTCCTCCAGGTTGTCCAGGAGCTGGGGTTCGTCCTGCCGGAGCTTCACCCAGAGTTGCCAGATCTCCTGTCTGCAGGGAGAGGGGTGTTTTGTAGTGAGCATCCCCCCAGAACCCTCCAAAGCCAGGCCAGCTGTGGGATCCTGGGTCATTTAGCTCACACCATTCAGGACGCACGGTCCTGGGGGTAAGATGAGCAGTGGGGTGACCATGATCCTGTCCCCTGCTCCTGCGCTGGAGGGCAAAGACACCTCCAAGCCATTTCTGGGCTCACTGCCTGCATGGGGACCAAATGAGGGGAATACCCTGCCCTGCCCCAAGCCTTTCCCCCTAGGGCAGCTCTGCCCCATCCTGCAGGACACCCATGGGTGCTAAACAGGGGGGGCTTACTCTTCAGAGACGTTGTCTGTGCCCAGCTGGTCCATGAAGGCGGCAAAGTGTCTCCGCTCCTCGCTGTCCGCCCCCTCCAACACTGGGCTTGGGAGGACCAAGCGGACCCTCCGGGATGCCGTTTTCTGCCGGCGGTGGTCCCTGGCAGCTTTTTGGGAGCTCAGGAACTGCCCTGCCGACAGATACCCCAAACCCTCAGTGTCCAGCCAGGGCGACAGCAAAGGCCAAACCCTGACACTTCCCACCCCATGGCTTCGACAAGCTGCTCCAGCACAATAGGACCCCTCACCAGGCGAGCCACGGGCTGAGACCCTGGCATGGGGACACTTTTTGGGCCATCATGTGCCATCCAGCAAGGGGAGCTTTTCAAGTCCCCCCGGGAAAGCACCAGGGCCGTGTCCAGGATCAGCCCGGGCTGCTTGGAGGCAGCGTGCTGGCACTTACAGAGCCCCGCAGCGAACTCCTCGGTGCATAACCGCCCGGTGCCAGCAGCATCCAGCCCATCGAAGACGAGCTCCAGCTCCTCCGTGCTGCATGGGAAATCTTCCTCCTGCAATTTCTAAGAACAAAGCAAACCAGGGGAAAACCCTACCCATCATCCAGTCTCCAGTCACCCCGGTGGCATTTGACACGAGAAGACATCCCCATCCCTCACCTGCATGTCCGAGCGGGTGACAAACCCCGCCTGGTCCTTGTCCCGCTCCCTGAAGAAGTCCTGCACCCTCTGCACTATTTCAGATGCCCATGGCAGCTCCTCGATGGGGCTGGCAGCTGCCGCCAGTGCCTTGCCGGAGCCCTCGCGCAGCTGCTTGCGCCGGCTGGAGCCCATGCGTCGGCTCTTGGCAGCTGCCCGGCGCTCAGCCATGGCTCCCAGCTCGGTCCTGTCAAGGGGGAAACTGGCGGGTGCTGAGCCTCGGCAGGCTCTCTCCTTGCGGGAGACCTTTGCTGTGGCACGGTGGGAGACGGTGGAGCAGGACTGAGCTGGAAATCCATTTTGGCTGGTGTAAATGGCCCCCGGGTTTGGCAATAGGAAGAGAAGCGCTTATCTCCGATTGCATGGCGCAAACAGAGTCTCGACCCACAGCGAGCAACGGCCGTCCCCACCGGCCATGAGCCCAGCACCCACGGGGCGAGCGGCTTCTCCTGCCGCTGGCCAAATGCCCATCCCAAATCTCCCCGTGATCCACCCTGGCTATGGAGGATGCACAGAGCACCAGCACCACCAGGGCTCGAGGGTCACCCGGGAGGTGACACAGCCGGGAGGTGACACCGGCAAAGGACCAGCCAAGGCGATGCTGGAGGTCTGGGCAAAACGTGGTAGTTCCACCTGCTTTCTTGGAGCTCAGCAGCAGCTTTTAAAATTCCTCCCCCAGCTTTCACAGCCATGAGTCACCTCCGGGGAGAGCTGCGCAAGACCTCGGGGAGGTTTTCATCATCCCTGCGTGCTCGCCCCGGCTTGCAGGGTCTGAGCTTGGGACCCCTGGGTGGGTGGCGGCAGCACCGACAGCCACCGTGCCATCCCCCTCAGGGGTTGTTCTCTGCGTGGCAAAGCCGAAAAACCGAGTGAAGGAAACCACAGCCATGGAGAGCGGTGACGCAGAGCCGGGGCCATGCTCAAGCTGGCTGCAGCCCGGCTTTCCGCTCCCAGCCCGGGGAGACCCCCGGCTGTTCCAGCCCTCTGCCCCTTTCCTTTTGCAATGTGAAACAGTGATTCTGCTAAATCCCAGGGTGCACTGGAAACACGGGAATAGGCCCCCAAAACCTCCCCTTCCCCTTAAAGCGAGAGGGTCTTGTGGAGTTGCTGGAGTCCCACAGGACACCAGGGGGGGCAGAAACCGGTTGCCTTTATGGTGGTCCCAGCCTCTAAGACAGCAGAAGTAGGAACTCTGGGGGGCACGTGGGGTTGTTTAAGGCATGAGGAAGCCCCCAGTTACCTGCCCCGGCCCCGGGGGCCTGAGCTGAGCCCACTGCACAAGGGAGGCGCAGAACAAGTGGGGGGGCTGGGATGGGAACCGTG